CTTGTCTGGGGGGATGATTTCTACTGATTTTTTACTTTTTTACTGTTTTTGGTTTTTTTCGGCAATTTTTTATGTTTTTTGTTTTTCTTGGGTACTATACTACTTTTTGTTTGGTTTTACTTATATCTTTAACTGTTTTTGGTCACAAACCACTCAGGGGACGAGGGAATGGCCGATCCCCCCACCCTTCCTGGTTCGTAAATTTTCGGTCTTAACTAAGTTAAAAAGCTATTCACGGTAATCCGGAGGGCTTCCGCGCTCCGAAACACCCCTCCGCCCCGGCGGCTTAGGCCTAATAAGGGCGTTAATGTGAGCACCCGCTCGGCGCGGAGTGCTCGTTAACGGTTCTGCCGGTCATGATGTTAAAAAGAATAACACCCAGGAGCGCCATAAAAACATGTATGTAACATTCGCCCGGAAGATACATATCGACGGATAACAAAACTAAGTCTTAAGACGACTGGCTAGCGTCTAAACAGAGCTTTGTATGCTTTTCACCGTCTCTACCAAGCCAGTACTTTTCGGTGGTCTTTCTAACATCGGGTCGACAAAAACGTTACTGTTCTCCGGCTTCGACCAGAACGCTCAAATTAACTTAATTACATGCAAATAGTGAGCTCATGGCTGGGTCTCAGTATCCCCAGACCACGAGGTCACTCCTAAAAACAGGGTTACTACTTATTATATTACTATTGTTTTTGTTCAGTAGATAAAAATCATCATCTCCATCGAAGATGGATCAACCCTTTCCCCCAACTCCTAGCACCTCATCCTTGTCAAAACTAATCCAAATATCAATTAAATTCAAGTCAGGACATGACAGGATGCTAAAAGTTCACACGAGTCAATAAAAGTTTTCCGTCCCGAGACCCCTCCGGGTTCTTGAATCCGGTGAATCAAGCCCGTTGATCTCGATTTCTTCCCAATCCGGAAGGCTGATTTCTTACCCTTCACCGTTGTTCGCAACGGCCTTGCAACTATTGTAGCAGCACAATAGTTGCAACTCGGAACGTTTTCTGCAATCTGCTGCTGTTTTTCTTATCACGATTGTCGTTGCTATCGTCAGCGCAACTAATGTTGTTGTGTTTCTTCTCTCGTTTTTTGTTAAAATGGCCGTTTCAGCATTTCTCAGAAATGTGACGTCATCATTAGAATTTTTGAAAATTTAAAATACTAGAATATTCCAGCCCTCACCGTTTGGCTAAACGTTCCAATAACGCCCTTAGTTCTTAAAAACCACCAATCCGGAAGGCTTACTGCTAAAATTCCGAATTCTGCAGAGATTGCATTTTGGCCATTCTGGTCGAATGTCACAAATTACATCCACTACATGTGAGCTTGTAGACCACTCTGGATTTCAAATCTTTCGCAAAGGGAGATTTAAGGGACGGTAGGCAAGTCTTGAGCTTTCTCGTAGTAAATATCACTTGGGCTCCGGCGTTTTGACGCAGTTTGGCAGCAAACCACTCCGATGCATTACCCCGGTATTGTTATCTTATAATGGGTGCACTGACCTTTAAAGGATCTTCCTTGACTGATGATACCGTTGTTCGTGAGTCAGTTTTTCGGTCGATGATCTTATTCAACGTTCTTAATACGACACCATCTGACCATTTTTCAGGGTATTGATTATCCACCCATTGTTCTTTATTAATCTTCATTGCCTTGTCAAAGTTTTCCCAAGTTGATGTACTTCTAAAAATCCGATGAACAGTACCCTCAACTACATTGCGTTTATATTGCAATGGAGCGCAGCTTCTGAAGTTAAGGATAGTCCCAGTATCCGTTGGTTATTGAAGAAACGTAACACGTATCGATTTTAATTGAAAAGGACTTAAACACTCGTCATCTTCTTTTTATCATTATCACTAGTTCCAGGAAATATCCCCAAAAAATGTTCTACAAGGAAAAATCCACAAGAGATGACACCCAAAAAGCTACATTTTTTAACGAATTTTTCATCAGTGTATATCAAAAGGAATCAATTCCTAACCCTCTCGCACGAAATACAAACTGTTCTCCTACAGAAGAAATCTGTACACAAATACACATTGAAGAAACCAAAATCCAATACATTCTCAAAAATCTTTTAACAAATAAAGCGTCAGGTTTTGATGGTATAGGTAATATAATCCTAAAAAATCTTTCTGAAACTCTGTCAAAATCGCTCTATCTTCTCTTCCGCACATTCATTAACAAGCGGCTCTTCCCGACCTACTGGAAAACAAGTCAAGTGGCCCCAATTTTTAAAGAAAAGAACAAGGCGTCAGTCGAGTGCTACCGCCCAATTAGCCTCTTATGCTCCGCCTCGAAGGTCTTCGAAAAAATTATCTTTGATAATATATACCCCAAAGTTCAACCTTTCCTGGAAAACGCACAATACGGCTTCCGGCAAAAAAGGTCAGCAGTACTACAAATGGTACAATTTTTGAGCAAAGTATATGAACTCTACGATGACAAAAATGTTCAAACACTATCAGTCCTTTATCTAGATTTTTCTAAAGCCTTTGATAAAGTTCCTCATAGTATCCTAGTCGCCAAACTACGGAACATAGGTCTAAGCATTCAAATACAAGACATAATACAAGACTATCTAACAGATAGAATGCAGTTTGTGAAAATCAATAAAAGTTCATCAACTCTGAAAGAAGTAACTAGCGGTGTACCACAGGGCTCAATTCTTGGTCCTCTACTTTTTATCATATTCATTAACGACTTTCCCAAATGCATTGAGAATTCAGATTGTTTTGGCTATTGTGACGATATGAAGATCTTGTCTACTGAAGAAATTCATCTGCAAAAAGACACGGCAAATGTTGAAAAATGGTGCAAAGAAAATAAAATGCCGCTGAATGAAGATAAATGTAATTTGTTAAACCTCAAAGGGAAAATGGAAGTTACACTATTTAATACAAATGTTGATACCGCAAAGACCCAAAAAGACTTAGGTATTTTAATGTGTGACAACCTTTCGTGGTCAGTAAATGCTGAAAATCGCATATCAAAAGCAATGGGAGCTTTTTACAAAATCAAACGAAATATCTCGAAAAAAACATCATTTAAGTCAAAATTAAACTTATACTGCGGATACATCGTACCAATCATAAGCTATGCATCGCAAACATGGTATCCGAACAAAGCAGAATTAAGACAACTAGAAAGAGTACAAAAACGAGCGACATCTTGGATTACAAATAACTTCAAAATGAGTTATACTGAAAGACTGAAATTTTTAAAGCTCCTTCCACTCTCAATGTACTTTGAATAACACGACATATTGTACTTAGTTTCACTACTAAAAAATAAACATGACATTGATTTGAATACAATTATTCATAAAAACGAATCACGAACGAGACAAGCAACACGTGGTGAGATTGCTGTTCATGCAACAAGACTGAAAAAGTCAAATGAAAATTATTATATACGTTCTAATACGCTATACAACTACTTTAGCCAAATTGTGGACTTCGAAAATCAAGATTATGACAGCCTGAAAATATCTATAACAAACACGTTTTGGAAATTCTTCAACAGAAATTTTGCAGAAAACAACTTGTGTATGTGGAGAATTCTTTGCTGGTGTGGAAACTGCAACCCACCGGGAAAAATTATGAACTTATAAACGAGGGTTCAAAACCCATGTGTGCCATTCTGCCGGATGACACAGCATAACCTTCCCGCGACAGAAAAAAAAGTGACTAAAGGCCTTATGAACAAAAAAGTGTTGCGACGGAGGGTCAGAATGTTCTAGAATTTTTATTTTTAAAATTTCGATTGGAAGAAGAACATTTCTGAGAAATAGAAAAAAGACGGCCATTTTGAATAAAAAGGACGAAAATCAGAACGACGCCATATTTTGTGAAGAACAGTTGTATCAGAGACAGAAAAACACGGAGCCTCTTATCGTGGCAAGAACACACGATAAGGACCTTAGCGACAGATATTTGTGGAGACGGAGGCTTCAGTGGGGGGAAGAGAAATACCACGGAACCTTCCCGGGACACGAAATATAGGAGATAAGAGTGTTATCTCAAGAAAATCACGGGAGCGGAGGCTTGGTCCCCCAGAGACTGTTATATGTGAAGGGACTGTGAAAACTGACTATAACAGCTGCTGTAATGTCCTAGATCTTAATTAACACCGTTATTATTTAATATTTCAGAGCATGAGTAGATAGAAAAAGGAAAGGGTCAATCCATCTCCAATGGATTTAATATAAAACTGTCACACAAAAACATAATAAAATAGGTTGTTCGAGCCGTGTTTTTAATGACAATCACGTAGTCTGAGGATCCGAGACTCAGCTATGTGGTTGTGTTCGCATGCAAACGAAAGCTGATCAAAAGTCGTTTGACTGATGGCCTAAAAATGGTAATTTTTACTTTGCCCTAAACAGACCAGAAAATCAACTGGCAAGGTCGAGACGGTGAAAAACGAGTAGAATTAAGGTAACTGACGCCTGCCAGTCGTTGATAGGTACTTTTTCTACGCTCCGTCGCTGTGTGATATTTGGGCGAATGTTACAATGGAGAAATCCTAAAGCCTACACTACTACTACTACTACTACTACTACTACTACTTCCATATCTAGAAAATTCCAAGGATTTTGACTGGAATACGTGATGAAGGGACCCCTGACTGTAACCTCGGTTACTATGATACTTTTGACCTTCTGATTACCAATAGAAGAAAAGATGAAAAAAGAAAAAAAAAGAGAAAAATTGATTGCACAATATATATTATGTAACATTGAGAAATTGGGTTGGATTGTTGCCAGGAATCGAAATCTTTTCACGCCTGCAGTAAATGAAACAAACATTTTAGCCAGAAAATATTTTTCAAGATTCGAAGTTTCACATTTAATTAATGTTTTTTGACTGTCTTTTCGTGTATAGGAAATGACGGAGAGCGCCGCTTCGCCTGGGTATAATATATTCTTGTGTTTGTTTTGTTTGATGCTGCCTTCTACAATGTTTTTGCTCAAATGCTTAAGATATTAATGACCAATAGCAATGATTGAGAGCATACCGTCCAGCAACTGTATCTGGGAGCCCAATCAATCTGACCTGCGTCAGATTTTACAGCTTCTTCAAGAGTCTCAATCGCCAAATACCGAAACACAGAGAAAAGTGCAACAGGTTGTTAAAACCGACATGAAACTTCTGTTTTTTTAGGAGTAATGAACGTAGTGAAGACTCTTATATAGATCTTGCTGATTTTCAATTGTTTTCTTTCAGGATAAAGTCTTAGTTTGTTCACGCTGAATTTTGATTTTTCGCGGTTAGACTTGCGATATCTTTTTAAGCTCAGTGCATTTCCATTGTTATAAGGAAGGCAAACTCCATTATCGTACAGCAAAAGTCTAAAGTTCACGAAAATTGTGATCGACGTCTGATTTCGAAAACGGGAAGTTAATTCTGAGTTTTCTCAGCGAAATAAAAGGGTCCAATTTTACTTATTGGTCCACTTTTCTCAAATTGGGTTGATTTTAACAAAAAAGATTTTAACAAAAACAATTGTTCACCAAATTCAAAGATCTTTAAGGCCATCTATTTTTTCGAAATTCAAAAGTTGAAGGTTCTTGAAGAAACAAGTCAGATTTTTTCCCTGAAATTGAATAGAGACTTGAAAGATATTGCAAAAATTGGAGCCATCAGTCGCCGAATCATCGCATGGAATAGTTGAACTTGACTTTGACATTTCTGTAGTGGTTTAAAGTTTCCGAGACTTTTTAAATATAATTAATTAAGACGGTTTGTTCACTTTGTGCTGAAGTTCGACTATCGTTGATATGATTTTACATTAACTTGCTTAATGTTTCTTACATTAACATGCTTTCATGTTATGTTAAAATGAAAGAAAACTGAAAAATGCTTGCTTTTTATGCAGCTATCAAATCAAATGTATAGGCTTTTTGGATTCGTTTTTTAATAACTTCATCAATAGAATGAAATGCTCTGAGACAATTTCAATAGGACAATTTCATCTCACTTTCTATTTGGTAGCTTTCAATGCTGCGCTTTCGCTATATTGCAAGTGACGCGAAGCTCCGCTTCATCTGTGTTATTTCTAATATAGCACCATAAGTAAAATTCTGAAGTGCTCGAATGCTGAGTTAGTTAATCGTCATCTAAATGAAGAGTTGATCGACATTACTAGATTCTCAGTGTTGTCAAACGTTGATTCGAATTTTTTTCTTTTTATCAAGCTCTAGGGAGGAATTACTCCTTAAAGCTCTACCAGGTTATAAATTAGTTCGAAGCTTGTTTTTAAGCGCTTTATCGGCACTAAACATTACGAAGACTGAGTTATAGAACAAGTTTTATTTTTTGTTGTTAATTTTTCAATAACTGTACTCAAGGAAAACTACTTAACGTTGGCCGAAAGATATCTATTATGTACTTGAGCGAGACATATCCAGTAATGTTTAAGCCCAGTTTAAATAAATAGTAGTTTAAGGCTGTTTCTTCATTCTTAAGCTACAGTCAACATATTATAGCTACAGTCTATTTAAATAGCTATGCTGTGCAAATTGGTTCGAGCGCTACTGGTAATTTGCGGTTTTTCATCTAGCATTGGTTTTTTGTCTAATCGAATTGTTTGATTTAAGCATGCATAAGTATTTTGTGCTTTAGTGTTTTATTTCATCTATTCATATAATTTTTCAAAACTCAAATCCGGGATGTTTTGAGAACTTCTTTTGATGCATGATGATTTTTTCTACAATGATATACTCAGTTTCGGGTAAAATTTATTAATTACTATTCTTGGGTTTGGGCTAGAATTTTGTTTTGGAAGCTGACGCTTCTCTTGAATTTGTTCACTTGCATGGGCTCAGTTGGATGTACTCTGTCTGAAAAGATCGGTCGATGATTTTTGGCAGAAATGTTTCTTTTTAAGCAGTTTCATTTTTAAGTTATTGACAGCGCAAGTCCACCGAATCAATCTGCATATATTTCGAGTCTTTTTGGTAGAGTCAGAAAACGGCACCTGATGCTTGCTTCGGTTTTGAGATAAACCTGTTATTCGTTTTTCGAAAAAAAAACTATTTAAATCAATTTTTTCATTTTAGTTTTTATTGTTCATCTTCTTTTGATCCTCTGGCTTTTTATGATTCTCTCATATGAGCGCGCTATCTTTTTTTTATTGTGCTTTAAGCTTTGAAAAACAATAACTGTTACCGTATTGGTTTTCTAGAAAAATCACCTTTGATCTTTTCAAGAATAATAATTGGAAAAAAATATATTTTGATTTTCGAATACTGATTGCTTGTGTTCATATCATCGTCTGTATCGCTGAATCAGCGTCATCTTTAGGTCATCATTTTAATTAACAGAAATGACAGCCGGTAGAAAAGCGGATTTTTTTTATTTTCGGAAAAAGTAAAGCTTAACCGTGTTTCGTTTTTCATCTTATTTTTGTGTTGCTCTATTTTGTTTGGTTCGCCTAAGGTCTAAGTAATTATTTCAACTTGTTGAAAGCCTATCTTGCTCAAAAAGTTGATTTTTTGGAATTTGAGACATGAATTCAACTTTTTATAGAAAATAGGGTACTTTATTGAGCTTTTTTAAAATTATGTTTTGTTAAATTTTGTATTGCTGATTTTACGCTCTTACGTCAGTATTTTGAGCTCTCATTGGTTTTCGCATCGGGCTTCTTTTGATTGCTTAGAAGGTTTGGTTCGATTTGACAAAATCATTTTACTGATGAATTTTTTTAAAATGGTTTTCTTGCTTATAATTTAATGATCTACGATAATCATTTAGAATTCAGACATTTCTGCACTGGATCGCTAGTTGTGTTGATCTGCTCAAACCTCGCACAAAAAAGCGACTTAATTTGAACAGAACTGGTTGGAACTTTCGGTGCTAATTGCACAGCAACCGGCAACTTGTTCATTTATGATAATTGTTCCCCCACTCATATTCAAGTTCTGCAATTTGGATTAGGTTTTTATTGTTTCGACAACAGAAATTGGTCGACAGAAAAATTAGCCAAAAAATTTGTCTAAAAGTATTTTTTTTGGTCAAAAATTAAACAATACTGTTAAATTACTGAAGCATAAAATGTTTTTTTTATTGAAGCAAATAGGAAAAATTTTATTTCGCCTGATCGATTTGGTGTAAAAAATTGATTCTTTTTCCAAAAGTGTCACGGTTCGATTGGAGCAAATTACTCATTTGTGATTGGCTGAAACAAAAGCAAATTTTTCCAGTAACCATATGAATTTTATCCCCAAAAGCCGGATAGGGAAGGGAGTACGAGAGCGGTGGGATCGTTTTTTGGTCCATCTGCTTTGCGATGGCTAAAAGGAAGATATCTAGGGGTTAATTTCGAAGATGACCTGCGTACCTTCTTCCCATTTCATCACTGTTGTTCTGTTCTAGAAACTCGAGGAGCTTAACCATTTCGCAGATTTCAATAACTACCTGGTCTACGTCTTGACGCAATTGACAGCCGAAGGTAACCAATCTTAATTTAAGATAATTATCTAGCAGATAAGTTACGTGAAAGGGCGTTGAGAAAACTCATTGCTTTGCCCTCATAGGAGCAGTCTGGTCTTAGCTCTAAAATAAGAATAGTAAAATTTACGCAGTAACATTTTAAAAAATAATGCAAATCATCTTGTAACATTTTAAAAAACAGCGACCATAAATCTTTGTTTGGCTTCCTTTGAAGGGTGTCTTACCTTTTAACAGCTTAGTATGTCCCATTTATGTTTTAAAACGAAATGTTTTTTTTTAACCTTCCAACTTTTTTTACCCCGCCGTAATCCAGTATCTTAAAAAAAGTGAATCAAGTTTTTGACGTTATTCCTCAAGCTAAGTGTAAGAAGATCCGATCCTCTTCTTCTGTGGTGTAGAGTTTTATAAAGAACCTGAAATCTGGAAATTAAACATTTCCAGAAAACAAAAACTAATTGAAAATTGCGTTGCAAGATATCCGTGGACAAAACAGATGCCTTAAAGTTTAATAGAGACTTGAAAGATATTGCAAAAATTGAAGCCATCAGTCGCCGAAGCATAGAATGAAATAGCTGAACATGATTTTGACATTTCTTTAGTGGTTTAATGTTTCCGAGACTTGTTTTAATATAGTTAATTAAGACGGTATAGTCACTCTGTCCTGAAGTTCGACTGCCGTTACGATCATTTTAAGTTAACTTGCTTTCATGTTACCTTTAATAAAAACTATTGCTTTTTGTGCAGTAATCAAAGATGAAGGCTTCGTTGACATATTTTTTTGTTGATAATTTCATCTATAGTATAAATATGATTAAATGGAAGAAGAAAGGATTTAGAGTACACAGAGATATGATAGAGCATATAAACTGTTAGTCAGATTAGTTTATTAAATATTTCTCAACAGACTCATTACCCTTGCGATAAGCAAGGGTATTGCAATCGGGTACTAGACTTTTTTCCCGTAAAAAACTTTGTTCACAGGACTCATTGGACTCCTTGTGGTACCTTGGTTCATAGCGAATTCAAATTTTGTAGTATTTTTTGCACACTTAGCCTGGTGGTAACGAATACGCCTGGGAGAAAATGCGGTAGAACATGCGCTAAAGCTTGAATCCCCAATGAACCAGCGCAACAAAATCGTACAAATAACCTTTTCGACAGATCGGGGGCGGATTTAGGGGGGGGGCGACCCCCTCCCCCTCAGGGATTCGACCCCCTGCCGACCCAAAGGGTCCCCCCTTTGATACTTTTTCAGAAATCCATTTTTGGCCGACTGACCCTAAAATTTTTCTAAAGGCGCCTTCAGCGCCAATATATACTAACTTTGAGGGGGAGCGCGCGCCAAAAAAAAACGCGATTTTTTTGTCAACATTTTTCAAAAAGCGGCCAAAAACGGGGCAAAATAGGGGCAAAACAGTGCTTTGGGAGAGCTCGAAAAATCAATTTGGTCGACCTAAAAAAAAAGGTCATCAAAATTTTCGAATTTTTGAAAATCCGCCGCTCCCCCCCCCCCCCCCCCCATCGAGAAAATCCTAGATCCGCCCCTGCGACAGATCGTTCGCCCCACTTAAATAATTAATAAACTGTTCATCGAAATGAAAAAAATAGTAAAGAAAAAAAAAGAATTTATTTCTCCAGTATATTTACTGCAAGCATGAACAAAAAACTTTCATTTATTCAACAAAATAATTTAAAGATAAATTAACAAAAGAAAAATAATAAAGAGGGCAGGCGAAAAGCTTACAGAATGCCCACTTGGATACTATCAATATAAATTCAGTCAAAGAATTTCTCGAATGAAATTATGAGGTCAAACCCAGTGAACGGATAGCATTAAGACACCCTCAACTACCTTGTTGCCATTTATCTTATTGCACTTCAATGGAACAAAAAAGATCGTAATTAAAAACAATCATTTTTGAACGATCTAGACGCTTTGTCCCAGAAGGGGTCTCAACTATGTCCTTCCAACTTCACTGATCTTTTACTTAGCATTCCCTGGGAAAAATTTGGAAGCACAAATAAACACTGATTAAAGATCTCGAAGTGAGTTGAAAGAGAAATCAAAAGAAAAGCTGAATGCGCAACAATTGCTTAATTCCGACGACCAACATTTGAAACATGAAATGTGGTATAGAAAAGTATGCCTTTTTGCTAACTTTTTTGATAAGCCATGCTGCCAGATTTAAGTACTCGCTATTCAAACTGTTTGATAAGATTTTTCTGCTTTGGAGTAGAATAAACGTTTTCTGAAAATTCAGAAATAATCTAGCACTCCCTCCCAGTCTCTCAAATCTCCAAAAATGCACTATTTTTCTTCATCGTTAATGAAAGATTTTTTATTACTGTTCACTGTAGTCGTAGCCGCCTTGCGATTTAATCGGAAATTTTGTTCTGCTATTGTTGATATTTTGGTACTGATGTTTTATTTGTACAGATTTTTTGAACTCATGCAGAATTGTAGACTCCGATATAAGTCATCGCGTTAAAATTTGTAGCTTATGTATTTTGAACTTTTTCTGCTGCAGTACTTTTTGTTTAACACCTTAAGAATAACCCAGCAAACAACCGAACTGCGCTCAGCCTTAAATATAATTCTTGTCAAATTCACAATGTAAAGAGAGTAGCATTTAGTTTGTTAATTTCATATAGTTTTTGCTATCATTAAAGTCAAAAAAATCTAAATAGGAACAGCAAATTCAATTCTGCATCACTTGTATAAGCTACGGAGAAGTGATGAAAGCTTCGTTTTGCTATAGTTCAAAGCGAGCGGCCAAATCGGTTCTGCTAATTAATGTTAAATGTTTTCATGTTTAGATGAGCCTACAAGGTCTTTATCAGGGTTGATTCTGAAAAACAATGTGAAGAACCACTTCGACTCATTTCCACCAGAAGTGAAAAAGTTCATAAAACAGGAGTGCCTCAAATGTGTCGGCGACCGTTCCCCCCTCATTCGTGCCACCATCGGCATCCTAATTACAACCATATCCTCCAAAGGAAGCATAGTTGGCTGGCCAGAACTAGTGCCGACGTTACTGTCCCTTCTCGATTCGGAGAATATCGAAACTGTTGAGGTGAGCTTAAAAACGAAATACATTTTTCGTTTCGCAGTGGCAAAACATATAAGTTTTTTTTACACATTTTTTAAGCAAAATGTCAATTTTGACGACTGCTTATTAATAATCTATTATATATCTATTATATTTAAATATGGGCATCACTATCTCGCCTTGTTTAAGCTTTTTGAACGTATTATTTTTGCATGTTTAACGAAAGAATTTTTGCACGTTTAAGCCATATCGTATATTGCAATGGTTAAGAATTTTTGTTCGATTGAATTTAGTGGTTATTTCACCGAGTTTAAAATAAGCAGCCCAATATTGGCATGCTGTCCGGATTCACCGAGAAGTTGCTGTCCGGATTCACCGAGGGGTTGCGAATTTGGCCTCCAATTTTGAATGGCCAAATTCTTTTTACTTAACGAGATAAGACGATTTTGGTGATTTTTTCAAAAATTTTCAGAAAACAAATTATTTTCAAAATTTGAAATTGCCAACCCTGTAGTTTGGTGCTGTCAGGGTACTCCAAAAAGTTGCAAATCTTGCCTCCATATGTGATTGTTCAAATACTTGTAGTTATCGAGATATGACGTTTTTTATATTAATTTATATTAATATAAACTTATATTAATTTTTTTTTCGCAAAAGCTGAAGTTCCCAACCCTGTAGATGGGTGCTGTCGGGGTACTCTAAGGTGTTGCGAATCTTGCCTCCAATTATGATTATTCAAATACTTGTAGTTATCGAGATATGACGTTTCTTTTTACTTTTCTTTAAAAAATTTCAGAAATTTAAATTATTTTTTTTGATAACTTGAAATTCTTAACTTTGTAGTTGAGTGCTGTCAGGGCCTTCCCAGGAGTTACAAATCGTGCAACATGTGATTGCTCAAATGCGTTTGCTGAAATGCTTTAAGTTTCCGAGATGTGACGTTTTTTTGATTTTTCTTCAAGAAATTATCTAACAAGAAATTCGCTCAATTTGAAACTACTAACTTGATGAAGACACAACTTTATTGTCAGCTTTTACCCAGGCGTCTCAAATCTTGCCTCTAAATATGAATGCTCAAATCCCTTTAGTTTCCGAGGAAAGACGTTTTTCTATGATTTATTCAATTTTTGTCGGGAATCTTAAGTAGGGTGCTCTCAGGGGTTCTCAGTGGTTGCAAATCTGGCCTCCAATTAAGTAAATTTTCTCTCCAGAAGCCCATTAAGTTTTCGAGATGACGCTTTTATTGTTTTTCAAAATGGGAATTAAAAAAATTAGAAAGTTTGAAATTACCAACCCTGTAATTGGTTGCAGTCAGAGTGCACTAAAAGTTTGCAGATCTTGTTTCGAATATATGGGGTTTTTCATGAGTTGTCGAAAAAATTTGAAGCACCAGAGGTGCGTTAAACGATAGTATTAATTACGCTTGCGATGAGCAACCCTCATCAAATCGGAATCTAGACTTTTTTGCGTTAACAACTTGATTAATAAAGTCACTTGAGTCATTTGTGATGATGCTGTGCTGGTGACATGCTCAATTTCTTAAAAATTCAAATGTAACTACTGGTACATGCTGTATCTAGAATTCTAACCATTTTATGTAGTGATAATAGAATTTCGATATCAATTTTTTGCTCATGATTTTTCGGCTTCTCGGTCGTTGACTTCAGCTCTGTCGGATTAGTTTCAAAATTTTGTATGCCACCTTGCATACCTTTTATATACAGCACTCGTCGTTTCTATGTGGGCAGTACATGGTTTTTTCCAAGAAAAGCACCGAAAAGTTTCGATAAATTATCTACCTAATATTATATTTCCTAGAAATTGCGGTTATTGTTTTCGAAATTGATGACTTTGGAACAAAATTTTGAAGGCTCGAAATCAACTCCACAAGGATCTCTTCAAAAAAACTTGAATACCTATAAACGTGAGAAAAAAAAACTTTTAAATTGAAAAAAAAATCGTTTTACTTGTTCTTCATTCAAAGGTAACATCGTTCGAGGTCCTCTTTGCTACTTTTGTTCTTCATGCTGTTTTCATTCTGTACCTGTTGTATCGCAAGCGGTGCGAAACTCAGCTTCGACCTACTGTATGGATATTTCATTGCGATAAGTGACGTTATTGCAACCGGCTACTAGACTTTTCCCGTAAATAATTGTTCACAGGATGACTCAAATTTGTGGCCATCTCCATATATGTACTTTTGTCATATAGCAGACATATTTTGAGCTACCTGCTTTTTCAATATCAGACGTGTTCGAAATTTGTTTATATTGGTCGTAAGTTCAGCTCCCGTTTCGATTTTTCATTTTAACTTTCCTTTTAATTACCTCTTCATCTCTTTATTCGGCTTAAAAGGTTTCGACTTTTATTATATCGGCTAAGTGGCCTATTGCGTTGTTTGATGGGTGAAAAAGTTTTTGATGTAAACGTTTCGAGGGGGGTCTAAAATACTTTACTTTTTTTAAATTTCATTGTGGAAAAAATTTTCGGTTCAACTGGTGCGATCAAGACTTTCCGGCTTGTTACTGCTGTTTACACTAGCGTTAGTGTTATACTACGACTATTTTTTTTTTAACCTAAGTCGCAAATATTGGTGTCATTTTTGGGGCACCTTTACGGCTTTTTCATAAAATGTGTTTTGACATTCGAATAGTAATAAGTTTGCACAGTTGATGCATTTAGAATTCATCAAATGAACCGAAAAAAGCTTTTTGTTTCCAACAATAAGACAATGATAAAAGCTCGATTTCAGAAACTTTCTAGCTCACTATATCTCGAAATTTTTCAAATGCAGAATTTATACATAATGTGGTTTTATGCTTTAAATTTATAACATGCAAAACTAGTGTGGATGCCTTCAGTTTGTTATATTTCAAATTATTTACTTGCAAAATTGTGTCTATATGTATTTGGTGCTACTTTTGCTGCATGGCATTGGCAATTTATTAGCATATGTAGTTGCTTTATATGTGACTAGTGTTTGTCGGTTGTTAAGCGTTCGTGTCCGAGAGGGCAGAAGGTGGAGACTCCAAGTCTCGAGGTCGGAGGTGCGAAGCCTATATGTTACAAAGTTTCACTATTTCGAGGCTTATTTCTATATATTTAGAATCTGTGTAACAAGTAACCATTGATCAGTCAAAGCAAGTGGAAATTTCAAAAAAAATTATTAAGCGCGTTTGGCCGAGCGGTGCAGTCAATGATTTTACAATCACAAGTTCGGAAGCTCAAATCTCGGGTTCGACAAAAGATTTCGCTGTGTGATTAAAAGTTAGGGAAATTTTGAAATGTGTTGACTCAGGTAGCCGGAGAGTTTCTGGACATCTTTGTCTTAGACACTATGTCTACGCACGTATATCCCAAGTTGTGCGGATATCACAATAAGGATAGGAATAATAATAGTAGTAATAATAATAACAACAACAACTCAAATTTAACTATTTATCCATATCTTCACAAAGTTTCAAATCGATTGTCTGTGATAGTGTTGAGCAAAACATGAGTAGTTTAGATAGTAGTTTTTAAATGTCGATCTATTTTGGTGTTTTTAGGGTTCATTTGGAGCCCTGCAGAAGATATGCGAGGACTCGTATGAGGCCTTTGAGACGGAGCCTGCCGCCCAGTACCTCGCAGTCATGATCCCCAAGTTCATCCTCTTCCTCAAACACCCACAGGTAATAATTTTCAGTGCTCAAAAATATTTCAAAAATTTTGAGCAAAACTGGGCTTATAATTTATTCTTGAAAAGTTTCATCTTGGATACTTTTGAGAGCCATGCAACGCATTTCAAAGAAATGACGAGGATTGCAGGGATTTGAAGTATGTGTTTTGATTTCATGTTGCAGCTGTCTATTTATTTTGCTGGATAAAATAATTTTAATTGATTTCGTATTGGTCAGGTTGTCAGATGAGTTGTGTTTTCTTGAAATCTTTTGTTAACGGAAACTGTTTTAAATAATGTGGCATGTACCTGTTTTTTGCTAAGTTACCGTTTGTTTTGAACATTAAGATGTTTCTGTATCGCATTTGGCGCGGTGCTCAGACCCCAAATGACCATTTTATTTTGACCTCTATTTTGAGGAAATTGCCTATAGTGCATTTACTGAGTTTATTTGTTTTCCGAAAAAAAAAATTCTTACTCTTTACTGGCAAGCAATTGCATTTTAGTCAGTTTAGTTGCCGACTTTAGTCCTATTGTTAAGTGAATTTAAAAAGTTACCTCTTGGTCCTGGTTTTAAGAGTAATGAACTCTTATATAGGTCTTGGTGATTTTTTTTCAGGAATAAGTCTTAAAATGCTCAAATAACTACAGATGTGCATTCATACATATTGATGCATTTATGAATCCACTTAGGTATAAATGCACTTTTTGAGTTCAATTAAAATTCATCTGCTGAAAGTTTACATAAATAGTACTGTCCAAATACGAACGTGGAAATGGCGCGAAAAAACGTGAACGAAAGTGGAAATTGTTTTTTAGATTTGCAACGGAATAAAAACTTTATCTGTTGATCCTGTTTTCTCAAATTGGGTGAATGTTATCAAAAAAGCACCAATCATAAATTGTTCTAGAAATTCGAAGAACTTAAATGGTATCTATTTTTTTCTTTGAAATTCGAAAGTTGAGTTTTTTTTTTCAACTAAGTCAGTGTTTTTTTTCGGTTTATTTAAGTTTATTACTTTTTTCCAATTGTCTGTTGGCTATGTTCTCAAATTGGGTTACTTATATCAAAAAAGTGCCAATCATAAATTGTTTGTTTTGAAATTGGAAAATTGAGAAACTTTTTGTTTTTCAGGCCAAAGTAAGGTCGCACTCTCTGGCGTGTGTGAATCAGTTCATATTTGGACGCTTCTCCACTCTGGGGGAGCACATGGAGTTATTCATTGAAGCTCTGTTCGCACTCTCCTCTGACAGTGACCCCGAAGTTAGGAAGAATGTGTGCAGGGCGCTGGTGATGTTGCTGGAAGTAAGGCTGGAACAGCTGCTGCCGCACATGAGCCAGATCATTGGAGTGAGTTGCACGATGGTTTGCTTGTATCTTGCAATTCGTTGTATATAAATCAGCTTAAGTATAAACCAGCTAAAATTTACACCAGCCGAAAATACTGAGCATTTACTTCATAATTATCTGATAACTAAGAAGAATTTGCACAAAGCATTCAAACTTCAACGCAAATAACCCAAGTTTTGGCGGATTTTTTTATCTGATACTCAGTCCGTTTCTACTGCGGCTATTTTTCGCTTTCTTAGTAATTATTTTTTGCTAGAATTTTTCTGGGTGAATTAGCAGTCAAAATATGACCTAGACATTTTTTTGTTGTTGTTCAGTGTGCATATAATGCTTAGTTCGTAATTTCTAGATTTGATGAATTATTATAGTTTTGATGAATTATCGAAAAAAATCTCTCTTGCAGCTCTTTCGAAGATAGGATTTTTTGCTGATAGGATTTTCGAGGCTCCGCTTTGTCTCAGTGTGTTATTTTTGTTTGTTCGACAGTACATTCTGGAGCGATCTCTTGACAAGGACGAGGCAGTGGCTCTAGAGGCCTGTGAGTTCTGGCTAACCTTCGCAGAACAGGACATATGCAGAGACATTCTGAGGGAGTTCTTGCCAAAGTAAGATCTATCAACACAGCCACGTTCAATTATTCAATTATTCTTGCGATTAGCCAGGCTAAAACAATTTTTAACCATAAAAAGGTTAAAACAATTTTTATTTGCTAGCAGAAATCGCTTCAAAAAAATTAAATCCAATTACGGTTTCTGCGTATTTAGCTTAGAGGTAACCCTGATGCTTGGGAAGACACTAAGGGTGATTGGTTCGATTCCAACCTGTTGTCCATTTTTGCATTTTTTTGCTAGATCGTAATTTCAAGGTCCGAGGCTCGATTACATTGTAGAGCTACTTTGCGCCGATTTATCGTTTGTATTTGCAGCTTCACCTCAGTGTTAAATTTTGAAATATATAAAACTAATTTACTGATAATTAAATTATCTGTTATTTACTGTCTACGCTTTGAACAGCTTCTATTTAATTTCAGTTGAAAACTTGAAAGTTTCTGATAAATTATCATCAAAATGTTGGACAAATGTGAAGTAGGACGAAAAAATCTAATTACATTTATTTTTAACACAAGCGAAGCGTAGTGTTTTATTACGATGATTTTTTTCTAATCTAAATTGCAAATGAAAGTGCTCGTTTGGTAGCACTTTTGTTGTATTTTAATTTAATCATATTTAACTTTATTTAAGCCTATATAAGTTAATGGTATATAAGGCTGCTTTATTTTTGGCTAGTGTTAGATCCTGTTTGAAAAAAACATTTCTAATGAAAATGTATGGGATTTGTTGTTTTTAGTTTTTTTTGCCACACTGTGGAACATTTTTGCTGAAATAATTTGTCGAAAAAATGGAACCAATGGAAAAATTGGCTGCTCTTCTATGTGGGTTCTACGGCCTTCGAAAGTTTCTTAAGGGGATTTTTGACCTATTTGTTATATTAAATGCTCAAATCTGGTTTCAATTGAAAGAACAAATTAAGGGGCTCTCTTTTTCTCAAGTTGCTAAATTCTGTAGAAAAAAATTGTTGCCTCAAAAAGCCCATTCTCAAAAACTTTCGTCTTTTCTCAAAAACTACCTTGCCAAATTGGAAGTTAAGGGTTCAACAAAAAAAATCAGTTATGCGAATCTTACCAGCGCAATCGGCTATGCCCTGAGTTTAAAAAATATGGCCTTAAAAATGTCTAATTTTTGAAATTTTGCCCGGTTTTTGGAAAGTTGTTCTTTTTTTAAAAAAACATTCCTGCTGGTTTTGAGGTTGATAGTTCATTTAAACTATCATGGTGTTAATATTTTCCCTGCGTAATCTGTTTTATCCTGTTCTTAAAAAAAGCTGGTACGGTCTTCGGAAAAATTCTTTAATTTTTTTTACCGTTTTTTAAAAACTTTTCGTCACTATTCTTGAAACCTACTGGCTAAATCTCATTAAGGGTTCAATCTAAAAAATAAAGGTGCGGAAATCTTCAATCTAAAAATCAGCAGGTGAAAAGCAGAGGTAATTTCTATGCTTTAGTAGAGAAAAGTGTATGCATTTAGAAAAATTCAAATTCTTGACTTTTTGATCGATTTTTGGAATCGTTTTCATTTTTTTTCGAAAACTACTTAGCCAAATCTGAGATAGTCTTTTTTTTGAAAATTACGCATTTCCATATCTGTACAATATCTGATTTAAAATATTACAACTGGATGATCCATCATCAGCTGGGCCACTTGTTTGCTTCCAAGCGTCCGCGGCGAGGACGCGAGACTCCTAATCAAACCGTCGGATAATCAAATCCGGAACACTTAAATAGTTTTTTGGTCTTTAATTGAAAGATTGAGTAGTAGTTTTTTAAATATAATTAAGCGGTTATTTCCCTACAGAAAATTTTGAGGGTTCTAGTCCATTTTTTTTGAAAATTACGCATTTCCATATCTGTACAATATCTGATTTAAAATATTACAACAGGATGATCCATCATCAGCTGGGCCACTTGTTTGCTTCCAAGCGTCCGCGGCGAGGACGCGAGACTCCTAATCAAACCGTCGGATAATCAAATCCGGAACACTTAAATAGTTTTTTTGGTCTAATATTTGCTGCATAACATTGGCAATTTGATAAACTGTAGCTGCTTTTTGGTGGCTAGTGTTAGTAAAATTTCAAGCGGTCATGGAGCAGATGTGAGAACGTGATACTAAAAAATTGTCAGGCTGTTTTTTTAATCTTTTTCTGATTTCATTTGTTTGCCTGTTTGAGCTCTTATTGCGTTTTCCTCGCTTGTGTTTGCGGAGCGTAGCTTCGCCTCTGTGTTGAACATAATATAGGCCTGATAAATTTGATCAAACCGATTACTGCAAAAAAAGCCATCAAAAAGCAAAAACTTTTGCTTACACATTGTAAAATTCTATTCTATTTCTGAATTTTTATAGAAGAATGTTTGTTTTCAAAATTTGAAATTTTTGCTACCGTTTGAATCATTTTGACATGAGCGTTTAAACATTTTTTTTTTTGCTCTCCGTTTATTTTTTTTGCAGCCGGCTTTTTCACTAAGTTGTTCACATTGGTTATTTACTTCCAGAATCTTCAGGTCAACAATTTCTAATCTCCATGTCCGGGACTCGATTACATTTTTAGAGCTATTTTTTGCCGATAAATCGCTTATCTTTGCGACGTGCAGCTTCGCCTTTATATAAAATTTGAATATGATAAAAATCAATTTACTGATCTTTAAATTACCCTTGCAATAAGCAAGAATCCTGCAATGGGGTACTAGACTTTTTCCCGTAAATAAATTTGTTCGCAGGACTCATCTCCTGGAGCCTGGACTCAGCCATATGCTTCCTCTATTTACACTTGCGATCAACAGAGTGTATTATTACGAACCTTCTTTTTCTAGTCTAACTCGCAATTAAAAGTGTTCATTAAAATAAAAGTGTTCATTTATTTGGAAATTTCACTTAAGCATTGGAAATTTCATAGCATCTGATCTCTGTTTTCGGTCAATTTAGCCTGCAGGCAACGAATATGCCTGGTACGGCAAAGGTCCTGGGTTCGAATAAAATTGTCGGCCAATTATTTTTCTGCTTATCTGTTGTCGGCGTAGTTGTCATATCTTGAAATCTTTGTTTTCTTTTTGCTGCGCGCATTTTTTGGTTTTAGTTTGTGATTTACTCCTACAAATTGTAGTTACGCAAGCATTGCTTGTGCTATAGTGTGGACTATCTTTTTTTCCCAGCCTAAGTCGCAAATATTGCGATAAAATGTGTTCAGTTTGAAAGTGTTCATTTTGATCAATAACCAGCTATTTAGTACAGCCAATTCTAGGGATATTAATACATACAATTCTAAGGATATTAACACAGACAATTATTGTTCCGGCTTTCGTAACGAAAGTGGCGGAATATTTGTGCTCGTAAAGTTATGGGGGTTAAAAAATGCCATTTTTGCCAATTTGGGACAATTAACGCGCGATATATTTCGCTCTATTAACACGTAAGCGGAGATTTACTCCGTCATAGAAATTGTTCCAAATTGGTTAAAGGAAGCTTATTTGCCATAATTGGTTTGTTACTAGGAGCGAAATTTATCACTTTGTACTTAATATGGCGTTTGGGGTGATGATTTTCGCAAAAAATCTCAAAATAAAAATTTTCATTTTTTTAAATTGCATTTACTTTTTTTTTCATGTTATTACTCCTCAGTAGACTGCTGTATAAATTGAGGCCTGTTAGTCGGTAGATTTTTTTTATCAAAGTGACTGGTACTGCTAATGCGTCGTAATTGGCGTGCGTCACTTAAGAAATTTTGTAGACTCAAAATTTTACTCAATCAGTTTTTCCCAGTAGCGTTATCGGTCATATTTTTGCTTGTGTATGCGAAGTGCAACTTCGCTTCTGTCTTTTACTTACCTTGACTTTATTTTTCCTTCTTTGTTTGCTTTTGTTTCGCTTAAAAAAATTCTTCGGACCAATTTTATCGGCTCAATGAGCTAATTGTAGTTTGTTTCAAGGGAAACACAAATTGAATATTTCCCTCCCCGCACTTACTCTGTTGATTGTGTGTTTACCTATTGGCTGGTTGAGTTTTTTTTTACAATTGAAAATTATTTCCAAATTCATTGGAAAAATTTTAGTTTTTCGCGGAAACTTCTATTGATTTTCAAAAAGGAGTATCAATTGAAAAACCGCCTAGTCCCCTGCGAGTCTGTATACTCCCCTAGACTCTCGTTTTACTTGACCCCCTCTGTCTACAGCCTTCAAAAAGTCTGTGGGGAATATTTGACAAATGTTTTTGAATTTTTTCATTTTCTCGAAAAACATAAATCTTAAATATGAGATTTTACTTTCATTGGATAGAACGGTTTCGAAAAGCTTCCTACATGAGCGGCTGCGCCCAAACAAAAGATAAAGTTGATTTTTTGACTGTTTTGTAAACTTTTTGATTATTCTCGAAAATTACACTGCCATATTTGAGATTTTGGGCTTAATTCACAGAGCGATTTGTGGGAAACTTATTTGTTTGAGACTACCTCCAAATTTTTCGGCACCAAAATATATGGCTCTCGAAAAAATCAAAACTTCGATTTTTGACCGTTTTTTGGACCTTTCTCGCTAACTATCCTGCCAATTCCGATATCATAGATTTAATCGAAACAACATGTTGTTCAAAGCCTACCTTTTTAACTGGAAATACACAGTTTGTTTAACAAAAAAAGTTATGGCCTTCCATTAAGTCGAAGTTTTGAAACTTTGACATTTTTTTGCAAACTTTTCGACTTTACGCGAAAACTAGCGTGCCAATTTTTAGGTTGTGTTCAATCGAGAAATCCAGTTTTAGGGATCTTCTTTGCTTAAGTGGCCACAACCTGTTCTTTGTAGGAAAAATTCATGGATTTAGGAAATCTTTTTGACCGTTTTTTTAGAAACTTATTGAATTTTCTTAAAATTTGCACAATCAAATCTGAGATGAAAAGTTCAACTGAAAGAACGGGTTGCGATAATGGTTCCTGCAGAAGCGCCGGTTCATTAAATTTTTGATGGAGAAATGTTATCTCCTTGGGAAAATTGATTATCTCAAAATTTTTCACTCCTCTCATTTGTTGTAGTAGAGAATCAACTAAGGTTTCGGGAAAAGTCAATATTTGAAATCACATTTTTTCGTGCCGCATCAGTATAGCAAATTCATTCAATATCAAACACATACCTCCAGCTTTTGCTGGGCCCTTAGTTGTTTTTATGTAGACATACGAAAATTTTGGTTCACCTAGTTTTTTTCAACATTAAATTTTTTTTTTATGTTTGTATTGTATCGAAAGTGATGCGAAGCTCCGCTTCGTCTCTGTGTAATCTCTAGGTCGCAGGTACGAATCTCTGACTTTGACAAATTTTTACTAATTCAAGGTTTTTTTTACTGCACTAAAGCTGCTTTTTCGTAATCTCGCAAGTGTTTGTGAAGCGAAGCTTCGCCTCTGTGTTTAAATTCAAATCCATTCAGCCATCCGGGGCGTCTGAAATCTGCGTATGTCAGTTCAATGTCGCTTAACTAATTTTTGAAAACGCATAAAGACTCAGTTCGGGTAGCGTAATCTGTGCAGTTTCCCCTCCTATATGCGCAGTTAAACTTACTGTGTTAGCTGTTGAAAAGGATTCATATTGGGTTCAAATTAAAACAGTTTCAAACCAACTGAAATTTTTCTTGCGAGCATTCATATTGGGTTCAAAATAAAAACAGTTTCAAACCAACTGAAGTTTTTCTGCTGTTGAAATTAAAAGTTATTTTTTCTACAAGCAACGCAATGCGTATTAAACGTTATAGCTCATATATGTTAGTACAAATACTATATGTTAGAAAATATGGCTGTATAAATACTTATTGAATATAACTTCAGTGTTTTATGCTGCAGACAGTTGGAACCAACAGCTTTAATTAAGAAGAGATCTGCCAATGTTAAATAAATCTTGCATGCAAGTTTGACTTTTCATGTGAAGTTGCCTTATAAATTTAGTCTGAAAATCTAACTTTGACATGTTCAAAACTGAAGTTTTGCCTATTTTTTTTTAAAATCTATTTGGTCTGCTGCAACGCTTTACTACTTTCTATATAATTTATATTGAGTGTTTCTGAATGTCACAGGAGGAGCTGTTGAAATTTCAGCAGTCGCTCGAAACAGAAACTGAAAATTAGTGTGGGAAACAAAATTTCGAAAATCTAATTGATAACCATGATTTTCGAAATACATGTATTAGATACGTTTCAAATTTAACTGCATTAAAGATTTCTTTTGTAAAATCAAACTTGAAAAATTACACTTGACAGCGCATAGTGTAATAATGACTTACTTATTTTAATTTATTTTGTTGTTAGACTGATCCCGGTGCTTGTGCAGTGCATGCGCTACTCTGAGATAGATGTGATCCTTCTCAAGGGAGATTTGGAGGAAGATCAGCATATACCCGACCTGGAAAAAGACATCAAGCCCAGATTCCACTTTTCCAAAATGTCCAACACATCCGGTAATAATATCCCGAGTTTATTATGATTATTAGTTGAAATCCGTTTTTTTTCCCTGTATATCACGTGATTTTGCGCAGGAAAAGTGACAGCATGTGGTGATGGTGCGAATGGTTCGGATGATGATGAAGACATTGGGAGTCCCATGCTCGGAGGGGGTCTGGGTGACCAGGACGACGAAGACACTCTCTCTAATTGGAACCTCCGCAAGTGCTCAGCCGCAGGTGACGCGAACACATTTTCTGCTCATTTTTAAGAAGCAAAATTTGCGCTAATTCTTTACTTGAAACTGTTGTTCTGCATTTTAAGTGAATTTTACGGTTTGTTTTGTCACTTCAAGACGATGCAAGTCATGAATGGTTCAGAGTAGTTATTATTCATGCGTGTTTCTAATTGCTTTCTAGGTCTGGACGTGTTGTCTAATGTATTCCATGAAGATATTCTGGAGACCCTTTTGCCTATTCTGACCTCTAAACTCCAGTCTGAAGAGTGGGAGGAGATTGAAGTGGCCATTCTCGCGCTGGGTGCTATAGCTGAAGGGTGCATGAAGGGCATGATCCCACACCTCCCAGATCTCATCCCATTTCTAATACAGGTTAGTGAGTTTTAGTTTTTGTATGTTCTCAAGCTATTTTGTAAAGCTCAAACCGGGTATAAGTTAACTACTGCTGGGGTTAACAGTTGAAGAAATTCAAATGCAGAAGTTTTTAAATGTAAGTTTAGTGTTCGACTGATGCTTACACAAGCTACGCTTGTGCTGTATACGAGTCCACTTTTTCAAACGTAATTGGAATATTTTGTTGCCATTTTGTGAAACTTTTGTTTTTTAAATAGCGACATATTTTGCAACATATTTTCTTGCAAATTTTGTTTTTTGAACAGATTGAGTTCAAACAGCTTAGTTTTGAGCGACCTAAACAGCCTTAGTTGAGCTATAAATATTTTGTTTTTAACTGTGGAAAACAAGTTTTTTAAGCTAAGTTCAGCGCTTCTTCAGCACTAAGAGTTGTTATCTTTTTAAAATTTTTCTGAAAACAAATTAGTTATTATTTTGTCATTAATTTTGCAAATATAACTGCAGTCAATAAACACTTCACTAAAAGTTCTAGCAAACTTTGATTGAATCTGCTCAGATCACGCTCAGAAATGCTGCTCAGAAAGGAAAAAACTGAATTCGGGGAAAAACTTTGTCTTCGGGTGTTTTAGTTTTTCAACGGAAATCATTAGAGGAAAGAGGCCGTGTAATATAACATGTTGAAGCCCTTTTTGACGTGATTCGGACGACATATAAAATTTCCAAAAAGTTTTCTCAGTGTCCAGAAAAACCAGTTTGAAAATTTTCATTTTTCAGTCTAATTTTAAGCCATTAAAGCGAGAAAGCATGCTCAAAATAGGCGTATAATTTATGGCTCATAGTTCAAATTGAACCGTGAAATTTTAGTTTTACTCTAAGAAAACTAGATTTTGACGTTCTTTTCAGCAAATTTTTGATAATAAAAAACATAAAATTTTTAGAACTTTTTCCTTTTATTTTTGAAATATGTTGTCCATTACGCCTTATTTATACAAGCATAGCTTGTATTGTAGTATAAACTTTTTTTTAACTTTTAATATTGTTGCGATGCAATTGTTGCGACAAAATGTGTTCATTTTGAAAGTGTTCATTTTGATCCAGCTATTAAGTACAGCCAATGCTAAGGATATTAACACAGACTATTATATTACAAATAGCACTTTAGCTTCAAGGCATCATGGATCTGTAGCGTAGAGGTAGGGAAGGAGACCAGCAGTAAAATAAGAGGGTTCGAACCTTGGAGGGTCGGATCATTTTAATGAAATTTTTCGTGTACTGCGTCCGCTCTATAAATTGAGGCATGTTAGTTGGTAAGTTATTTTTTCAAATTGACTGGTACTGCTAATGCGTCATAATTGGCTTGCTTAACTTATTAATTATGTAGACTCATAATTGGCGTGCGTCACTTTTGAAATTTTGTAGACTCAAAGTTTTACCCATTCAATTTTTCCCAGTAGCGTTATCGGTCATATTTTTGCATGTGTATGCGAAGTGCAACTTCGCCTCTGCGCTATTATTTCTATCAAATTATGACTTTTCATCACAAAGTGTAGGAAAAAACGCGCATTTTGAAAAAGTTTTCTAGTTTTTTTTCTCAATGTTGAGGTCGTAGCTTTCTGTGCTACTTGCGCCGAACCGGTTATCCTCGTTCTTAAAAAGTTTTAGATTGGTTTCTCATTGTTTTCTAAAATAGGCAGCTGTGATATGACCCTTGCAATGATCGATATATTGTTTCTGGTTGATTACCGATCGTCGTGGTTGACTTTTGATTCATTTGGTCTAAAGAAGGCGAATAACTCTCTCCGATTACAAAAACTGCGCTAAGAAACGTGAATTACTTAGTTCGAAAGTGAATATAATTCTCAGTTTTCTTTATGGAAGTCCCAATCAATACTTATCAATGAATCGGTTTTCTTAAATTGGGTTAAGTTTATGAAAAAAGCGCCAATCATAAAAGACTTGCACCCCTCCGACTAAAAACAACAACAATTTCTACTGTTTTTTACGCTTTTAGCAAGCGTTATCAAACGAATATACTTTTTTTTAGTTAACAACTAGGTTAACAAAATCACTGAATCATTTCTGCAGCATTCAATTCCGCAGCAAGCAAACATGCTCGAAATTTCAATTTTAACTACAGTACGAAAGGTACTAGGTGACGTTTATGGGACTACGCTCGAATCCGGTCAGCACGTGCTTGTTTAACCTAAACTATTTAATATCAAAAGATGATCGGCCTACGGGTTGTCTGCTTTTTGTTTGTCGGATTAGTTGCGACGTTTTTTTTACATTTCTTGTGTAAGATATTTTTTGTAACTGAAAGTGTTTTATGATTCTTTCATGTAATTTGTTATTTCTACCTTTGCGAGAGCATTTTTTTTGTAACCGGTAACCATACTCCCCCCTTAACAACTTTTCTTACAGATTTATAATTGAAATTGATGCTGCTTTATCATCGCACGTGGTCTGGAGGTAATGCAGTGGACTTTGAAATTGAAGGCCTGGGGTTTGAGTCCGGGCCGGACGTCTTTTTTCAGTCTCAAATTTAAATTTTATTTCCGGGAAATATTGATTAGTCGGGTTATAGTTTGTCTGCTTAGTTGCCACCTCGCATTTTTTTTGCGCTGTAAGTCCATTAGTTTTTCAAAATTACTCTACCTGACTTGTATTTTTTCCGGTTTTTTGGTTTTTCGCTTCGAAGTTTTTTTTCGGCCTAAATGATATCGGCTCTTGTTTTGTCGGTATTAAATTATTTCGGCTCCTGTTTTTCCGATTGGTGAACTTATTGTGCATCCGTATAAGGATAAAAGTGATTCTTCATGTTCTTAATAAATCAGCTCGGCTGGTTGTATAAAGGTTAAAAGTTCAAACTTTTTAATCGCTCAATGTTTTTTATGAGAACAATTTCCTCTGACATGTTTTGTTTTCGGATTAATTGGCGTCTAAAAACGAATTTTTGGCTTAGTGAACGCTTAAAAAATATTTATAGCTTTTTTCATGCCAGTTGCTCTTTTTGTCGTCTGTGTTTTTCAGAGGTTGAATTTTTCGTATTAAAAAAAAAATGTTCGAATTTCCTTTGCTATTTTTGTTTCGGATCAATTAACGTCTAACCACGTTTTGCTGGCTTAGTAAACGCTCGGAAATACTAAAAGCGTGCTTATTGCTAGTGGCTGTGTTTCTCATCTGCTTTTTCTGTGATCGAATTTTTGGCATTTCCATTTTTTTCCACTTAGTTATTTCCTTGTCACTGACCATTTAGTAGCTTGCAATAGTACGCTTTTGTTGTATCGCAAGTTGTGCGAAGATCTGCTTCGCCTCTGTGTGATATTTTAATAGTATACTTGAGGTAAATGTCTCGTTGGTTTTGAAAATGAGTATGCAGCCGAATGTAGTGTAGAGATGCTGTCGAGATTTCGACGGTGAAGCTATTTAGCCACCTTTTTTTGGGTTCAAAAAATTTTGTCGTTTCAGGCGTTGAATTCTAAGAAGGCGCTGGTGAGGAGTATAACGTGTTGGACTCTGTCTCGCTACACTCAGTGGGTGATGCAACAACCACACGACCACTGTCTCCAGCCCTTAATGTCTGCTCTGCTGAGGAAGATTCTAGATGCGAACAAACGTGTGCAGAAGGCAGCATGCAGGTCTCACTAGTTTTTTTTGTCGTGTGATTCGGCGACCACATTTCTTAACATGTGACCACGGTACTATAAGTACAGACCACCACATGCAAGAACAGACACTTTTGCACGTAGCACACTTAGCCCATTTGGTTTTTGTAGCGTTTTATGTCCTCGCATTTGACATGGCTTAGATTATAACAATAATAGGCAATGTTTAAATTAGGAGGGGTAATAATTCTGCATACAAAAAAGACAACCGAGAAAAAAATTGTCAGAAAGAGAAGAATCATGGACAAGTACTTAATTTATTTATTCTCTCAATCATACATACTATACTCATCATGATAAGTCAATGTAAAAGATAAGATGTTGTTAAAATGCATAGATTTTAATTGTGATTTTTAGTGCATTTGCGACTCTGGAGGAGGATGCAAGAACTGAACTGGTGCCCTATTTGCCCTTCATTTTGGACACTCTGGTGTACGCCTTCAAAAAGTACCAGGCCAACAACCTCCTCCTCCTCTACGACGCCATCGGAACACTCGCAGGTTTGAAAAAATAATAAGCGAAAGCTTTTTTCACAATGAATTGCACACAGTCGAAATATTTTAAATCTTCATAATCGGGGATGTAAGACTACTCATTATGATGCAGTAATTCATTGCAGTTGTGAACTGCGACAAATATTTCAATTTGAATGGTATGTAAAATCCATTTTTTGGCAATTTTCATAATTGTTCCGATTAGCGTAGGCGTGGAAGTACTTTGAATTCGAGTTTTTTTTGTCGCTCGAACTTGTGGATCATCAATAAACTTCAGAATTGGTATAACATATTAAAATCCTTTCAGATGTGATTCCAGCAGCAATGAAAGTTTTCAAAAGTTTCATTGGGGCGTGGAAAAAACAGCCTGCATATTTTGCTTGAGATGTAAAACATACCTATAGGAATTGTAAAGTTTTATTTTATAAAAGTGCTTATTATAATGTCATTTACTTACTTTGCAGACGCCGTGGGAACACATCTAAACAAACCCGAGTTCATTGAACTGTTGATGCCGCCTCTGATCGAGAAGTGGAACGCACTGCGTGACGATGACAAGGGTCTCTTCCCACTCCTAGAGTGTCTTTCATCAGTTGCCACAGCACTCCAGGCCGGGTTCATTCCCTATGCACAGCCAGTGTTCGCAAGATGTAAAAATTTGGTAGAAAGAAATCTCCAACAGGAATCGGTGAGTTGAATTAGTAAGAAGCGATTAATGTAGTTCATACTCTTGTATAGGTCCTGGTGATTGTTGCGGCCATTTGAAAAATGCGGAGGAACTTAGTACAAGGGTGTGTTTAAGTTTTTTCTTTGTTTTGTTTTCCACGAAAAATCAGTTACCGAAATTAATCATCGTTCGAGTGATATATCATATAAAAGCCCTTTCAGTCGTGATTTTTTTTCATTTCTGTGCTTAATTTATTTTTCGATTTTTGTGAAGTAGAGAGTATTTCCATGTTGCTTTCAAGTTTTTTTCAAAGGTTGTTGATTAACAATAAATGATGTGCTAAAAATAGACAACAGTGGAGGTTTTTTGCATGCTCTGAACGACATTTAAAGTTTGAAATTTTTCTCAGTGTCGAGAAAAACCAGTTTGAAATTTTATTTAATCTAATTTCAAGCTAATAAGCTAATAATTTCCAGCTAATAAGGTTAGGCTTACAAAGCTTATTTATGCTTAATTTAACGATTTTTTTTTTCGTTTTTCTAGTCATTTTTCTACAAAAACTGTTTCCCGATTGGCCTACTTTGCTATGAATGTCGAATATGCCTGAATTCTAGTTTTTTTTTCGTTCAAATCTTTTTTTAGCACACCACGCAGAATAAAAGACAACCCTAGTTTAAAAAAAAAACTTTTTTTATTGTTTAAGACAATGGTCGGAACATTCTGTGTTACTTGCTCAGTAACCGGCTATCCTTGTTTTTTTCTTTTGGTTTTCCACGCAAAATAAGGTACCGAAAAATCAGCAAAATGGGTCGATTTATATATCATATAAAAGCCCTTTTAGTCGTAATTCGAGAAAAACCGGTTTGAAGTTTTTGATTTTTTGGTCTAATTTCCAGCTCATAAGGTCAGTCAACGCGCAGGCTTACAAAGGTAAGCCGTGAAAACCATTTTGGGAATCAAAAAATCAAAAAGGTTCTGCAAAAAATTTAGAAAAATTTCATTTTTCTTACAATTTTTTTTTTTCATTATAGTCTTTTTCTTTACTCAAGCAAAGCTGGTGTTATAGTATGAACTATTTTTTTCCAACCTAAGTCGCAAATATTGTTGCGATAAATGTGTTCATTTTGATCAATAACCAGCTATTAAGTACAGCCAGTGCTAAGGATATTAACACAGACTATTATTGTTCTGACTTTTGTAACGAAAGTAATTGAATGTTTGTGCTCGGGGTGGTTTTTTCTTCGACAAATTTCGAATTTTTTAACTAGCCATCTTGACGAGATTTTTAAAAATCCTTCAAAAAGTATTGTTGTCCTGGGCTTAGATTTGGAAAGATATTTCACCTGTGATCATTTTACGTAAAATTATGGGCAATTTGGGACAATTAATGCGCGATATATTAGGCGCTATTAACACGTAACCGGAGATTTAATCTGTCATCGAAGTCGTTCCAAATTGGTTGAAGGAAGCTTAATTGCCACAATCAAAATGTAACTAGGAGCGAAATGTATTTATTTGTACTTAATATGGCGTGTGGGGGGATGATTTTTACAAAAATCTCAAATTTAAAAAAAATCGTTTTTTTTATTGCATTTATTTTTTTCATGTTATTACTGCTCCATAGCCTGCTCTATAAATTGAGGCATGTTAGTTGGTAATAAGCTAATCATTTCCAGCCAATAAGGTTAGGCTGAGCCAGGCTTACAAAGCTTATTTATGCTTAATTTAACGATTTTTTTTCGTTTTTCTAGTCATTTTTCTACAAAAACTGTTTCCCGATTGGCCTACTTTGCTATGAATGTCGAATATGCCTGAATTCTAGTTTTTTTTGTTCAAATCTTTTTTTAGCACACCACGCAGAATAAAAGACAACCCTAATTTTAAAAAAAAACTTTTTTTTATTGTTTAAGACAATGGTCGGAACATTCTGTGTTACTTGCTCAGTAACCGGCTATCCTTGTTTTTTTATTTTGGTTTTCCACGCAAAATAAGGTACCGAAAAATCCGCAAAATGGGTCGATTTATATATCATATGAAAGCCCTTTTAGTCGTAATTCGAGAAAAACCGGTTTGAAGTTTTTGATTTTTTGGTCTAATTTCCAGCTCATAAGGTCAGTCAGCGCGCAGGCTTACAAAGGTAAGCCGTGAAAACCATTTTGGGAATCAAAAAATTAAAAAGGTTCTGCAAAAATTTAGAAAAATTTCATTTTTCTTACAATTTTTTTTTTCATTATTTTTAGTCTTTTTCTTTACTCAAGCAAAGCTGGTGTTATAGTATGAACTATTTTTTTCCAACCTAAGTCGCAAATATTGTTGCGACGCAAATATTGTTGCGATAAATGTGTTCATTTTGATCAATAACCAGCTATTAAGTACAGCCAGTGCTAAGGATATTAACACAGACTATTATTGTTCTGACTTTTGTAACGAAAGTAATTGAATGTTTGTGCTCGGGGTGGTTTTTTCTTCGACAAATTTCGAATTTTTAACTAGCCATCTTGACAAGATTTTTAAAAATCCTTCAAAAAGTATTGTTGTCCTGGGCTTAGATTTGGAAAGATATTTCACCTGTGATCATTTTACGTAAAATTATGGGCAATTTGGGACAATTAATGCGCGATATATTAGGCGCTATTAACACGTAACCGGAGATTTAATCTGTCATCGAAGTCGTTCCAAATTGGTTGAAGGAAGCTTATTTGCCACAATCAAATTGTAACTAGGAGCGAAATGTATTTATTTGTACTTAATATGGCGTGTGGGGGGATGATTTTTACAAAAATCTCAAATTTAAAAAAAATCGTTTTTTTTTATTACATTTATTTTTTTCATGTTATTACTGCTCCATAGCCTGCTCTATAAATTGAGGCATGTTAGTTGGTAAAAAGTTGATCATTTCCAGCCAATAAGGTTAGGCTGAGCCAGGCTTACAAAGCTTATTTATGCTTAATTTAACGATTTTTTTTTCGTTTTTCTAGTCATTTTTCTACAAAAACTGTTTCCCGATTGGCCTACTTTGCTATGAATGTCGAATATGCCTGAGTTCTAGTTTTTTTTTCGTTCAAATCTTTTTTTAGCACACCACGCAGAATAAAAAACAACCCTAATTTAAAAAAAAAACTTTTTTTTGTTTAAGACAATGGTCGGAACATTCTGTGTTACTTGCTCAGTAACCGGCTATCGTTGTATTTTTCTTTTGGTTTTCCACGCAAAATAAGGTACCGAAAACTATCAGCAAAATGGGTCGATTTATATATCATATAAAAGCCCTTTTAGTCGTAATTCGAGCGACATTAAAAAATTTGAAAGTTTTTTCTCAGTTTTGAGAAAAACCGGTTTGAAGTTTTTGATTTTTGGTCTAGTTTCCAGCTCATAAGGTCAGTCAGCGCGCAGGCTTACAAAGGTAAGCCGTGAAAACCACTTTGGGAATCAAAAAAGTTCTGCAAAAAATTTAGAAAAATTTCATTTTTTTTACATTTTTTTTTTTTCATTTTTATTCTTTTTCTTTACTCAAGCAAAGCTGGTGTTATAGTATGAACTATTTTTTTTCCAACCTAAGTCGCAAATATTATTGCGACGCAAATATTGTTGCGATAAATGTGTTCATTTTGATCAATAACCAGCTATTAAGTACAGCCAGTGCTAAGGATATTAACACAGACTATTTTTGTTCTGACTTTTGTAACGAAAGTAATTGAATGTTTGTGCTCGGGGTGGTTTTTTCTTCAGACAAATTTCGAATTTTTTAACTAGCCATCTTGACGAGACTTTAAAAAATCCTTCAAAAAGTATTGTTGTCCTGAGCTTAGATTTGGAAAGATATTTCACCTGTGATCATTTTACGTAAAATTATGGGCAATTTGGGACAATTAATGCGCGATATATTAGGCGCTATTAACACGTAACCGGAGATTTAATCTGTCATCAAAGTCGTTCCAAATTGGTTGAAGGAAGCTTATTTGCCACAATCAAAATATAACTAGGAGCGAAATGTATTTATTTGTACTTAATATGGCGTGTGGGGGGATGATTTTTACAAAAATCTCAAATTTAAAAAAAATCGATTTGTTTTATTACATTTATTTTTTTCATGTTATTACTGCTCCATAGCCTGCTCTATAAATTGAGGCATGTTAGTTGGTAATTTTCTTTTGTTTTCAAATTGACTGGTACTGCTTATTTTGTAGACTCAAAGTTTTACTCAATCAGTTTTTCCCAGTAGCGTTATCGGTCATATTTTTGCTTGTGTATGCGAAGTGCAACTTCGCCTGTGTCAAAAAGTTTTTTCCAATTAGTCTCGACTATGACTGCCTAATATGCCTAATTTCTATCTTTTCGTTTATATCTTTCTATTACACCACACAGAAAAAAAACTACCTTAATTTGAAAAAATTTTGTGTTTTTGTCAAGACTATCGTCGGAACATTCTGTGCTATTTGCAGTGACCGGCTATCCTTGCTTACTTTTTTCAGGATAAGTCTGGAAATGCCTAAAATGCTCTAATAACCACAAGTTCATTCACACAGGTTAATTCATTTCTGAATGCCTTTAGGTATATGTGCACTTTTTGAGTTCAATTGAAGTGCATTTGCTTAAAGTGACGTAAATAGTACTCTCCAAATTCGAACGTGCAAATGGAGCAAAAAAACGTGAACGATTTCTAGTTTCAAAAGTGGTATTTAATTGTTAGATTTCCAGCGGATTAAAAACTTTACTAATCACTCCAGATTTCTCAAATTGGGTTAATTTAATTTATAAAGTTCCAATCATAAATTGATCTTGAAATTCAAGGATCTTGAAAGCCATATGTTTTTTCAATGAAATTTGAATGTTTTCCAAAAAAGAAGTCAGTTTTTTGTTTCCTTGTGTCCATTGACTCTTTTTCTACTGTATGTTGGCTCTGTTTAAAACCATTACGATATTGTCAATAATGAGTTTTACAGTAAAGGTCTCTTTCCATAAATAATAAAATGAATTCATTTAACATGATTGATGATATGTCACTTGTATCTTTAGATGCATCGCATGGACCCCTCGGGGGCGGAGGAGCCGGACAAGGACTTCATGGTGGTTGCGATTGACCTGATGAGTAGTGTGGTAGAGGGACTGGGAGGCGTGAATATAGGGGGACTGCTGGATTCATCCCCCACGTCCACGACAGACATGATGCCACTGCTGCTCCAGTGCATGCGAGATGTACAACCAGAGGTTAAAATAGCCGTGCTTGAAGACAATTGGTCTGGCCATAGTTGGTCCGCAGCTAGACTCTAGTGAAATAAATACACAAAGAAAAACAACCTAAAATGCTAGAATGCTTTAACCAGGGTATAATATTATAAATTAGTGCAGCGGTGGGTCTCCCTAAATAGCCGAATAGTCCTTTCCACTGTGGATAATAGTTGTTAAATGTGGATATAGCATTTTTGGTTATGATATAGGTGCGGCAGAGTTCTTTTGCCCTTCTGGGAGACCTGACCAAGGCCTGCTTCCACATAGTTCAACCCCACATGGATGAAGTGATGCCTGTTCTGAGTGAAAATCTAGTGCCTGAGCTGATCTCCGTCTGCAACAACGCCACCTGGGCCATAGGAGAGATCGCCATGAAGATGGGTAAGGAGAGACGACACTATCTTGTCGCATAATATAACAAAGATAGCCGGTTGCTGTGCAACAAGTTCAGAATGTTACGACAAATGATTTCTCAAAATAAACTTAAAAACAAATTTTCCTTGTAAAAATTTCCTGTCAGTTTTAAAGATTAGATGAACGTAATGAAGACTCTTATATAGGTCGTGAATATTTTTTTTTTCAGGAAAGTCTTGAAATTTCACGTTCAACTTTGATTTTTTTTTATGATTTGTCCTTTTAATTTCAGTTCATTCATTTTGATGAAAGAAAGACAAACTGTACCAACGAATAACAAGAAGTCGAATCACGGTCACAAAAAACGTGATTCGACTTCTTGTTTCGAAAGTGGATTTTAATTTTCAGATCTCACAACGGAATAAAAAATTTGTGTTGATTCAGTTTTCTTTGAAGACGATAATTTTCAAAAAAAGCCAATCGTAAGCAGTTTTTGAAATTTAAAGAGCTTCGTGATATATTTTTTCAATGGAAAATCAAATAATGAAAAATGCTCAAAAATATCCTATGAATTTATTTCGGTTTCCTTGTTTTTTTAACGTAACTGTTTATCTTCACTGTCTATTGGCTATGATCATTTTTAAGAGCCGATAAACGTATTGAAGACTCTTGTATAGGTCGTAATGATAGGTCGTAATGCAGTAAGAGTTTTCGCTGTTTGACTTTTGATTTTTTTGAAGTTCAGTTCCTTTCTTTTTTTAAAGGAAGGCAAACTCCGCCACAACAGCAAAAGTGAAAAATTGACGAAAAACATGATCGACTCTTAGTATCGAACAAGGGATTTTAGTTTTCAGATTTCCCAGCAGATTGGAAGTTTTACCTGTGGGTCCAGTTTTATCAAATTGAGTTGATATATTTTTAAAAAAAGTAACAATCAATAAATGCTCTTGAAATGCAGAGAGCTTTCAAGCCATATTTTATAAGAGTTGATGAGCGTAGTTCAGACTTTATATAGGTCGCGATATATTTTTTTGGTTTTTCCAGAAAATTTTTTATAATTTTTTCAGGCTCAAGTTTACTTTTTTGCAGTTCGATTTTTGATTATTTTTTATGATCAGTTTATTTCATTAGTTGAAACGTGATCAACTTCTATCTTCGAAAGTGAAATTTTTTTTCAGTTTTCCCAGTGAAAGAAATGTTTTCTTATTGATCTAATTTTCTGAAATTGTGTTAATTTATCACAAAATTGTCATTCATAATTTTTTCTAGAAATTCAAAGAGCCTTAAGGGCATCTTATTTTTCTTTGAAATTCGAAAGTTGAGATTTTTTCAAAAAACAAGTCAGTATTTTTTTCACAATTTATTCTTGCGTTCATTAACGCTTTTCCAACTGTCTGTTGGCTATAGCAAAGTTTTTTGAAAAATGATGCTTTCAGGCAAGTTGCCCGCTGTTGAACTGGGTTTGTTCTGTTTATCTGCTACGATTTCACTATGCGTTTCTATACTTCAAAATTGAACTTTCGGAAATTTTTCAAAGACGTGTAATTTATCTGGTTTTAGGGAGTGGAATGGAGCCATATGTGCACTTATTTCTTCAGCAGCTGATCGAAATTGTTAACAGATCAAATATTCCCAAGACGCTTATGGAGAACACAGGTAAATTAAATATGCTTATTCAGGATTAATTATCGAGGATCAATAATTCTTTCACCTATTTAGTCGTGGTTTTTTCGGAAAAGTCTTTATTAACATTTGATTATGCTCAAAAAGTATTTTGGCAGTTGAATTATGGTGTCTTAAGTTCACTTTGAAATAATGTACCAAATTGAAGGCAAATTGTGCTGTTAATGGGCAAATGGTGGAGAAATAGAAGGAAATAAAAAACCAATTATTCAATTGTCAACTTGGTGAATTCTTGACATTCGAATACTTTAAATTTGATCTAACTTTTTTCTGTGAAACTCGAGTCAGAGTTCCTTTTTCAGTTTCGTTTTTCACTTTTCCAACTGTCTGATAATTTAGCAAATGTCTGTTTATATAAAGAATACAGTTAGTGGAAATAATTTTTGATTTGTTTCTGCTTAGCGATCACCCTGGGCAGAGTCGGCTATGTGTGTCCATCTGCAGTTTCGCCTCAATTGCACCAATTTATCAGACCGTGGTAAGTGAATTCAGATCACCACATAAAGAACAAGGGGCGGTATTTTTAAAACAGCAGTCCGGAAACTTGAACGTTAACTTTGAATTTTTAAATTTTTTTTCGTTGTTTGTCCTTTTTGTTTTAAGTATGTTTTAATTGGCCCGTTCTGATCAAAGCCCAGAACCTTGATGGCCATTTTTTGAATAATATTCTTCTATTTTCTAAATAAATCACAGCGTAACTGTGAGATGTTACCTAAAACCTGTCTTTTGAGGTGCACGAGTCTTCGGAATATTCGGGACAACGAGGAGAAGGATTCTGCGTTTCGAGGAATATGTGCGATGATCAGTGTAAACCCGGCCGGCATATTGCAGGACTTCATCTTCTTTTGCGATGCCATTGCCTCCTGGGCCACGCCTAAACAGGACCTCAAACAGATGTTCTACATGGTAAGCTCAAGATTAAGTGGCAATATCTTCAAAATAACTTTCCTGTGAAGCAAAATTGAAAAAAAGGGAAAATTTGTCATTTTCTGTCTTACTTGGCTTTCCTTTAATTGTTGCCGGCAAACTTTCAAGGCTATTTGCTTTTGATTTTATTTCTTTCATCATTTTTTTTGACTACTTCCGTCGCAATGTGAGGGTTTGTAGTCTCGGAAAATATGAAAAATTTAGTTTTTCTCTTCTACCTTTTGTATTGCAACTGATGCGAAGCTCCGCTTTGATTTGTGTAAGATGCAAGTGAGTAAACTGTTTCTATTAAGAAGCTGCCCTGTTTTTTTTCGAGCTTCTTTTTTGGGAAGGACATAAATTATTTTTCGAGCGAGTCTTATATAATCTGGACTAGACTTATTTTCATTCAGCAATTTCAAGAAGTGGTTCCATGCTCAATTTCATAAAATTAATTAGTAATTGCAATGCTAGTAATCCGGGCTAAGTTTACAGTTATGATTCACTTAAGTTTACTTCTAATTAATACCTAATTGTTTTGGTTCCCTTAATAAGTCTCAATGAACGAAGTGAAGACAAATTTCAGTCGTGTCGTTTTCACATTTGTTTACGCTCAAATTTTGTTTTTCGCAAGTGGCCTTTCGTTTTCTTTAAAATTCATTTGCTGTAAATTACGTTCTCCAAAACGAAAAGATAAATACAATGAAAATAAAGTTAATGGACTTCATATTTTAAAAGTGGATTATTACACTTGCGAAGCAATGTGTTATAGTACGAACTTCCTTTTTTTCCAACCTAAGTCGCAAATATTGTTGCGGCTAAGTCGCAATTATTGTTGTGGCTTAAAGCAACAATATTTGCTGCGTCGAATTTGCTGCATCAAATTGGCAATAAGATATTTTGTTGCACCTTTGATATTTAGTTGCACCTTTACAGCTTATTGATAACATGTGCTTTGACATTCGAATAGTTATAAGTTTACAAAATTGATGCATTTTTAATTCATCAAGTGAACCGATCAAAGCTATTTGTTTCTTCGCAATTTTTTGAAATGCGTAATTTATACATAATGTGGCTTTATGATTTGCGATTTTTTTACATGGAAAAGTGCATCTTTTTGTATTTGTTGCTACTTTTGCATGCTACTTTAGCATATTTATTTGATGCTACTTTAGCATATGAAGCTGCATTATTAGTTGCTAGTTTTTGGGTATTTTAAGCATCCGTGGCTGAAGGTTAGCGCGCGAGACTCAAATTTGCTAGGTCGCTGATTTTTGCTAATTCGAGTTTTTGCTAAGCCTCGAGTTTTTACAAATTCGAGGCTTATTTCTACTATTTCCAAAAAACAGCTCTATCAAGCGACATAAAAAAAGTAGTGTTCTTGGATGTGTTTGCGAAGCGCAGCTTCGCCTATGTGTAGTTTTCATATTTCCCAGCTGAATGTAAACATTATCTATTAAACAGTTTTTACACTAGCCTCAGCTTTACAGCGTCAGTTTTACACTTTTGGGGCGCCTTTACAGCTTTTGATTGCATGTGCTTTGACATTCGATTAGTAATATTTTGATACATTCGATGCATTTTCAATTTATCAAATGAACTGAAGAAAGCTAGTGTGGATGCCTGCATTTGGTCATATTCCAAATTTTTACTAGCGAAATAGTGTCTTTTTGTATTTTGTGCCACTTTTGCTGAATGGCATTTGCAATTTATTAGCATATATAGCCGCTTTGTTCGTGAGCCGTGTTTTTCGATGGGTCAGCGTGCGGTGCCGAGTGGTTAGTGCGTGAGACTCAAAATCTCTTGATTGCAGCTGGTCGCAGATCGAATCCTAGACCTAGCCGAATTTTTGCTAATTCGATGCTTATTCTTATTTTTCTTGTTGCACTTTCTACAGATGCTTTTTGTTTTCTCGCTTTTTGTTTTCTCTGTATTTGCGATGCAGAGCTTCGCTTCTTTGTCTTAAATTGGGTTAGTTTTATCAAAAAACTATTAATCATAATAAATTTCAAAGAGCTTTAAGGGCATATTTTTTTTTCTGTGAAGTTCGATAGTTGAAGTTTGAAGTTTAAAAAACGCAAGTTAGTTTCGTTTCTGTTTCCGTATGTTCGTTGACTCTCTTCCGAGTGTCTATTAGCTATGTTTCATTTTAGTCGGCTTAAAAGGTTTCAGTTGATAATATATCGGCTTAACGGCCTCTTTCTGAGTCGTTTGAGTAGCTAAGGCGTTTTTTATAAATGTTTTGAGGGGGACTTAAAAACTGCTTTGTATTTTTATAAGAATCAATTCTTTCGGCGCAATGTGTGTCTGCTGAAGAATTGTCGGCTCTGTTACATCTTTCTAAGTTTTTATTCGATGCTCATTCAATTGTCTTACTTGTGGCTTTTTTCTTGAATGAAAGTTTTATTCAAGACTAGTTTTTGGTAAATCAGTTTCTTTTTTTTTTTCTACGGCTTTTTTCTCGGCTCCCTGTCGGTTAGTTTGTCATGCTATATTCGTGTTGTAACGCAAGTGGTATGGACTTTCGCTTAGCATCTGTTTCTAAAATGTGTCAATCATAACATTGTTCTTGAAATTCAAAGATTTTTAACGTGATTTTTTTCTTCAAAGTTCAGAAGTGGAAAAATGTTTAAAATGTCTCCTTTTTTAAGTTTAGTTGAGTTCTAATAGACATTCCAGCCATCTATTGGCTAAGTTTTTTTTTCAAATGAATGTTCCTTAAAATTTAGATATTTCCAAAAACAGAAAATCGAATTTTCAGTTATTGTGGGCTCATTAGCTTTCCGTTTTTTTGGCTGGCTGATAAACAGTTTTTATCTGTTTAGTTTGTTGCCAGTTTTGGGTTTTCAAAAATATTAAGCATCATCTGTTTGTGTATTACATGTGATGCAAGCTCCTCTCTTAGGTGCGTTAAAAAAATAAATCGTACAAACTGAATTAAGCAAATTGTTTTTATAGCTCAAGTTATGCCATTACACTAGATAGCTTTATCGAACGCAGTGTAATAATACCACTCTTATTTATTTTTAACCTAAGTTGCAAATATTGCTGCCACTTTTGGGCACCTTTACGGCTTTTTGATAGCATGTGCTTTGACAATTGATCAGTTATAAGTTGACACAGTTGATGCATTTTAAATGAACCGAAAAAAGCTATTTGTTTCAAACAACATTACAGTACAAACTCGATTTCAAAGATTTAAAACTCGCTTTTTTTCGAAATGCATAATTTTTAACATAATTGGCCTTTATGCTTTCCAATTTATCAATGCAAAGTTAGTGTGGATGCCGAGTTTTTTTATATTCGAAAATATTACATGCAAAATTGTGTCTATAGGTATTTGGTGCCACTTTTGCTGCATCGGATTGGCAATTTCTTGGCATATGTAGCTACATCATTTGTAGCTAGTGTTTGCAAATTTTTAAGAGGTCGCAGCGCAGATGTGAGGAAGGGACTATAAATGTCCTGGTCGTATGATTGATTCCGCTACTGCAAAAGTTTTTTTCAAGGCTTATTTTTTATCTGTTTTCCTATTTCACTTTATGGAGCTACTTTTTTGTCGTTTTCTCGTTAGTGTTCCATATGTTTGCTTTCTCATGACAATTGTCGAAAGGCAAAGAAATCCAACCAATAAAAATCCTTCTTTTGAATACTTGAGCCCTTCACTCTGATTGACTAATTTTAACTTCCGTTTATGTTTGTCTGCAGATTCTGATGGGATTTAAAGAGCAAGTGGGTGACGCGAGCTGGTCCAAATTTGTATCTCAATTTCCACAGCTGCTCAAGGAGAGATTGGAAGCACATTATGGTATCATTTCATCGGCTCAACAGCAACAAAATATTCTCAATCAACAGCAACAGATCAGACCTCCTGCTGAAGGCATGAATCAATGATACAGTTTTTCGTCCATCGAAAGATTGCTTGAAAAGTCTAATTTAATTAAGAATTCATTAATTCTGAGTGATGGCACTAAAGAAACGTGGTAGAAATAAGTGCGCCGATTGATTCTCTGCTGCTTGTAGTTAACCGTTAATTTCTGGATTTTGACCTCAAAATGTCACTTGGCCAGGTGAGGTTGCTTAAATCAGGTTCAAGCGGGGATCATAATAGAAGTTATGGACGAAGAAGGCCAATGTTACGACCTATGTTACGCTTAATTGACATTCTTTATCCTCATTTAAATCTCAATGTCTTCAAAGTTATCTCTGGAATTATTTCAGCGTCAAAACCTTTGCAATCAAAATTGTGTTCTAAATAGCTCTGTTGTTATTCTGCATTTAGATTTATGCCTTTAAAGTCACTTCATTAAGTTTCCCTTAAAGATTCACAGATTCACCTTGAAATATCAGTTTACTTTTTTCGAGGAATGGAAGCCTGAAATTGGATGTTAAAATAAACTTTAGCCTATTTGGAAACTGTCGCTCGTGTGTCAAACGCCAGTAATTTATCGTGTTAAGTCGAAAAGTTCTTAAGGATTAGAATAAAGTAACCTAAAAAGCCTGTCAAAAACCTAGTTGTTGATATATTGCTTCCAAACTATTACAAGCTATGCATAAAATGTAGTGCAATGTCATGCTGTTTTAAAAACTGAAAAATTTCCTACACAAATATGCAACTTTGATTAACATGCAACATATGAAAAGCTACCTCTTAATTACAATGCAATCTCAATTTACCTTCTTGAAATTACAATGAAACGCTGTTTGAAATGTTACTATGCGATGATCCATGTTCATATTTGCTTGGTGATTGTATTAGCGACCGGTGTTAAACGGAAAAGAAATGAATACCAGTACACAAATCGATCGTTTCCTGCCGATTTGGTCGAGAGATTGAAAGCAAAAAAACGCCGGTCGAAAAGTTTAGAGAGTGAAAATTGGTTCGTTGCTTTGTACAAGCCTATACGACATGAACGCTGAATTATCTCAATGTATCAGTCGATTTTCATCAAATGGGAAGAAATCGCCTCTGATAATGAGAAAATTAGCCGCCTGGGAATGCGTGTGAGAAGTGATCGAATGAAGTGGCGATATGAAAAAGAAGGATTTCACATGAAGTTACACATGAAAAACATGAACGAAGTTCACACAGGTTCGACATACAACATGTAGATGCCATATGTCATGCATTCATGAAATGTTTTCTCAACTCAAACTTCTCTTTTCATTCTTTTGGTAGTTATATCAACATGAATTTGTGCTATGTATTAATACATATACATTGTGCTGAATTTGCTGACAATTTAATTCAATGCAATGTTCTGAAACTAGTTCTAAAAATTTAAAGCCGTTAAAATACTTGTTTTTAAATGAAATTGAATATTGAACTATGATGGACTATATAAAACTGACGATGGAGATGAAAATCGAATGGTACCGGTTGGAGGAATCTCAATGTCATCTGCCTCCTCAAGGTGGGAACGGCATCAGCAAATGAATGACAGTCCCCCTCCCCAAGTAAGGCCAAATTTCAAATTTAATTGTTGTCAGGCCAAATATATTTTTCCAGCTCTTTTGGATCAGTACAAAGACTATTATGTCAAAATTTATTATGCGCGGTAGGTGATTTTCGAGAAATTTCTGAATGTTGTTGCAGTTTGTAGTTGCAATCTTCAATGTGAAAGCCAACTTCGAAGAAATCTATTGCTCGAACGAAGCCACTTTTTTCAATGCATGAAACTAAGATTGAGCTCAATCTTGACACAAAATAGAAAAACGCGGATTTTATTAAGATAATTTGACGTGTATCAAACTATCTCTGAGCGATTTTCCAATCTGAAAAAAAGGGCGCCAATCGCGTGCGGTCTTGCTATGTAGCCGGAACATGCAAGATTTTGCAGTGAATGCTTTTTGGCGTTGTCAGAATTATTCGGTTAATTATCAGCTTATTGTTGTCCGGTTTATTTCCATCGGCTTATTTAGAGTCGATGCACGTAGTTCAGACTCTTATATAGGTCGTGATGATGTTTAAAGAGGCGATGAACGTAGTTCAGACTCTTATATGGGTCGTAATGATTTTTTTGTTTTTTTTTTCAGGAAAAGTCTCAAAATTTGTTCACGATCAAATTTGATTTTCGCGGTTTAACTTCTAATTTTTCTTGAAATTCAGCTCATTTCCTTCGTTAAAAAAGGCCAAATCCGATATGATCCAACAGTAAAACGGAAAAGCGTGATCGACTTCTGATTTCGAATGTGGTATTTAATTTTCAAATTAAATTAGCCGAACTAAAACTTTACCTATTAAAACAGTTTTTTTTTTCAAATTGGGCTTACTTTATCAAAAAAGTTTCTATCATGAAATATTCTAGAAATTCAGATAGCTTTGCGGGCATCTATGTGTTTTCTTTGAAATTCAAATTTTGAGATTTTTTCGAAAAACAAGTTAGTAGTTTTTTCTGTTTCCTTGCTTTCCTTGACTCTTTTCCAGCTGTCAGTTGGCTCTGTTCGTTTTTCTCACGAAAAATTATAAAATTTGCCGAAAAACGTGATCGACTTCTTGTTTCGAAAATGAAATTTAAGTTTCAGATTTACAAGCCAAATAAAAAATTTGCCTTTTGATTCAGTTTTCTCATAATGGGTTAGTTTTATCAAAAAAAAACATCAATCATAAATTGTTCTAGAAATTCAAAGAGTTTAACGATCATCTATTTTTTCTTCGTAATTTAAAAGTTAATATTTTTTCAAAAAAAAACAAATTCTTTTTTTATTCTGTTTTCTTGCGTTCATTGACTCTTTTCTTACTGTTTGATAGTTATGTGTTACTTACTCGTTTTTCTATTCATTTCCAGTCGTATCGTTATTTCGATTTTGAGATATTAGCACATTTGGTACTGCGCAACTGGAAAAAACAAAGAAGCGAAAGTAAACCATGGCATTACACGGTCACTTACGAGCAACGTGATGCGCAACTTTCCTTCTTTGAAACGTTCCTCTCAATCTGGCATTCCGGTCTAAAGTGTTTTCTACGCCGTTCGAAAGAATATATTGGTTGATTTTTTCATTTTGAATCATATCAGTTTTAATCATGAAAAAATCCTGATTTTAAAAGCGTTTATTGCGTGATTTATTTATTCTTCTATCAAAGTTGATTGTTTTGAAAAAAAAATTGAAAAGCTTTTCGATTTGTTTGTTCTTTGAAACTATTGCTTATGAAACTATTCCATTAGTCCAGGAAAGTCTTTGACAGAGTTGCAAAGCAAGTGCGAAGGCACTGAACACGAGGCCCGGTTTCTAATGCCAAAGTTGGACCAAGTTACTCAACATCCACCCCCCCCCCCATCCGTTTAGGGAGAGGATGTTAACTTGGTTCTGAGTTCGAATTTTCAAATATTTGACTTCCTTTAATTTTTTTCTATTTTTTAATAGTTTTTACTGATAGTTTAGAGCTCCATGTTGACATTGTCCTTGCCTTTGCTTTCAATTTTTTTTTGTTCCGAAAATGTTTTCTCATTGTTTGTTGACTATTCTTTTGATCTGACTAGCGAGGAAAGTTAGCTAATTAGCACTTGCTGGTCCTCAATTTGAACATCAAAGAATCAAGTAGAAGTGTTAAGTATGGGACAAAACGGCATAGGACAAAATCTCATGTGGGTCAAGTTGGCATAGGACAAGTTGCCATGTAGGGCAAGTTAGTATAGGACAAGTTGGCATAGGGGCAATTGACTTGGGGCAAATAGTCCTGACACCTTTTTGCCGAGTTCAAAATCGCCTAATTTAAAGCCAATCAGGGAATTTTATGCTCATTTGCGTTTTTAGTCTTGTTTTTGCAAATAATTATTATGAGTTAATGAACATGTTTCAAACTTTCTTATAGGTCGCGATGATTTTCTTTAGGCTCAGTCTCAAATTTACTTTTTGGCGATTTGACTTTGATTTTTTCTTTGACGTTTAATTTAACCGTTGAAAGGAAAGCAAACTCCACTATCGAACAGCGATAGTGTAAAGGTCACGAAAAACGCTGGACTTTTAGTTCCAAAAGCGGAAATAAATTATTGAACTTCCCAGCGAAACAAAAATTTTACCTATTGATCCAGTTTTCTCACATTGGGTTAAATTTTTCAAAAAAGTCAATCATGAATTGTTCTTGAATTTCGGAGAGCTTAAAATAAATTTTTTTTCGTTGAATTCTAAAATTTTTTATGTTTACTTGCGTTCATTGACTCCTTTCCAACTGTCTGTTTGCTATGTTTTAACCAACTTATCTTCTTAACCCACTTTGTCCTCCAAAAATTGGAATAATTTAATTAAATAATCTTGTACGATAGCATTTAATGAATAAAAATTCATTTTACATTAAGCAGCATTTCTCCACATCAAAACTTAATGGACACTTGGTCGCTTAAGTTTTGTTTGTGGTTTAGAGCTCCATGTTGACATTGTCCTTGCCTTTGCTTTCAATTTTTTTTTGTTCCGAAAATGTTTTCTCATTGTTTGTTAACTATTCTATTGTTCTGACTAGCGAGGAAAGTTAGCTAATTAGCACTTGCTGGTCCTCAATTTGAACATCAAAGAATCAAGTAAAAGTGTTAAGTATGGGACAAAACGGCATAGGACAAAATCTCATGTGGGTCAAGTTGGCATAGGACAAGTTGCCATGTAGGGCAAGTTAGTATAGGACAAGTTGGCATAGGGACAATTGACTTGGGGCAATTGACTTGGGGCAAATAGTCCTGACACCTTTTTGTCGAGTTCAAAATCGCCTAATTTAAAGCCAATCAGGGAATTTTATGCTCATTTGCGTTTTTAGTCTTGTTTTTGCAAATAATTATTAAGAGTTAATGAACATGTTTCAAACTTTCTTATAGGTCGCGATGATTTTCTTTAGGCTCAGTTTCAAATTTACTTTTTGGCGATTTGACTTTGATTTTTTCTTTGACGTTTAATTTAACCGTTGAAAGGAAAGCAAACTCCACTATCGAACAGCGATAGTGTAAAGGTCACGAAAAACGCTGGACTTCTAGTTCCAAAAGCGGAAATAAATTATTGAACTTCCCAGCGAAACAAAAATTTTACCTATTGATCCAGTTTTCTCACATTGGGTTAAATTTTTCAAAAAAGTCAATCATGAATTGTTCTTGAATTTCGGAGAGCTTACAATAATTTTTTTTCGTTGAATTCCAAAATTTTTTATGTTTACTTGCGTTCATTGACTCCTTTCCAACTGTCTGTTTGCTATGTTTTAACCAACTTATCTTTTTAACCCACCTTGTCCTCCAAAAATTGGAATAATTTAATTAAATAATCTTGTACGATAGCATTTAATGAATAAAAATTCATTTTACATTAAGCAGCCTTTCTCCACATCAAAACTTAATGGACCACTTGGTCGCTTAAGTTTTGTTTGTGGTTTGGAGAATGACATCCTGTTGAAGTAGAAACGATTAAAAAAACACCATTGATCAAAATATATATGAAAACATACCAAAGCCCTAACATTTAATAAAATGGTGAAATTTCTGGCGAAAAGAACAAGTCGCTAAACCATTATCAATTTTTACAACTGAATGTAGTGAAAATAAATTTGGTTTAAAATGAAAATGGTTCGAAAACATATCAAACCCTAGCGTTCATTAAAACGGTGAAATTTTTACCGAAAAGAACTTAAGTCGCTAAACCAGTATCAATTGTTGAGTACTGAATGTAGTGAAAATAATTTAGTTGAGAATGAAAATGGTTCGAAAAATTGAACTGCAGTTTTTAGTTCCAAGTGCTGGTTTGCTTTTACAATTGCATTTCAAATTTTATGGGACATTCGAGCTTTAGTGAGCAGTGTATTATTGGTACGACTATTCTTTTGTTTCCAGTCTAAGTCGCCAACTTTGGTGCCAATTATAGTGGCACCTTTACGGCTTTTTGATAGCATGTGCTTTGACATTCGATTAGTAAAAAGTTAACACAGTTGATGAAATTTTTGTTCATCAAATGAATCGGAAATAGCTTTTTGTTTCAAATAACAGTACAGTAATAAAATTTTGATTTCAGAAATTTTCCAACTCAATGTATCTCGCAATATTTTTGAAGTGCATAATTTATACATAGTTTGCCTTTTTGCTTTCCAATTTATTACATGCAAATTTAGTGTATATTCGTTTATTTTGTTATATTCCAATTTGTTACATGTCTATTTGTATTTGGTATATTTTTAGCTGGATCGCATATGTAGCTCTTTTGTTCATAATTTATTAGCATATGTAGCTCTTTTATTCTGAGAGAGTGTTAATAAATTGTCAAGTACCTGTGGCGGAAATGCGAGGACAGGGGACTCT